TCGGACAGTGCACAGTGATGTAGTGGGAATATGCATCGGGAAAGCAACGAGAGACCAGAGCTTCACATGATTTGGTGTTTTTGTCAAAGTACATTTGAGATAAATATGACCTGATTGGTGAACACATGGCACAAAAAGGCTCACTCCAGGAAGATAAACGGAGAGAACTGGACTTTATAAATTCCCCTAGATGTTTAAACAATATATTCATCATTACTTGAGTAAGAGAGCAAAAATTAGAACAAAATGGAATTTGCAATGAACCTTGAGTACAATGCCATTCTCAAGGTCTGCTTATTTTTTTCCAAATAACATGTTTTCTCTAAAATTTAATATATGTGTTTTTATTTATTTTTATCACTTACGTTTACAAGGCCCCATTTATTACTTTACACAAGGAAAACACCACAATACAAGGCCGTTGTGTTAAGAGTCAGCGGTGTGCATGAACAGAAATAGGCCAAACACAGAAACAGTCAGACAGGTTATATGAGAAAGCAATCAATGTGTCCTTGAGTCGCACCATTTTCCAAATAGGGAATGTATCTGGGGTGTTTTGCATGCACTTGACCAAGTGATGGTTCAGACAACTGTTAAGCAGTGTGTGTTCTCCCTGAAGTGGATTCAGGAAGCTTGTGTGCGTTGCCAAAAGAAGCCACAAAAGAGAAATGAAACAGTAAGAGAGGAAAGGCAGAGGCAAAGGTAGAGCAGGGGGTTTGGGTGTTAATGGGGGCTACATGATTATAGTTGCTTGTAGGTCAACCTGTTCTGGTCCCCTCTCTCTCTTGCTCTTACGTTGCCACTGCTGCTGTTTCCATTCGCTGCCCTCCCTGCTTTGCACCTGCCTACTCCGCCCCGGCATTGTGCCACTGTGAAAACGTTTAACCGATGCTGAATGAAGTCACCACCCCCTTCCAGACTCCCTCCCTAGTGGTACAGAGATGGCAGTGTGTGTATGTGTGTGCGGTGGGGGTGTTCTGAATATGGAGAGATAGAGAAAATGGGGCTAGGGAGCAACAAAGGGCACATTCTCCCCTCCCCTACATACTTTTGCCCACTTCATTCTGGCCCAGCCCGGAGTAGAGGGCTTTGTTTTGGGGACAAGGCAGAAATATTGTTGATCTCTCGCCTCTCGTCCAAAGTGAGCATCCCAGGACAGAGAGAGGGGTGAGGAAAGAGGCAAAGGAGATGGTTGTAATAATGTCAAGTTATTAAACAAGGTGTTTAGTTAAGACATGTTTTAAAGTGTGTACGGCAGGTATTGAGGTTATCCTTTCACTAAAATGCAGGCAAGGTAATTTACTCTTCACATTTTGCAACTAATTTGACAAATGTTATATGGGTCTTCCTTTTTCCTGTTTGCACACTTGGCAATAACTCCTCTAATGCAAAACAGGAATAGTTAACAAATAACAGATAAACTGATACCACACATGGCCCAATAGGTGATGCCAATACCACAATAAGATAAGATAAGATAGACTTTATTGATCTCACACAGGAGAAACTTACATGTCACATCTGGCATGGATAGAAAACTACACTAGTGTTTTTTAACCGTGATAGCACCAATCAATGTGTCTGATGTGTCTAATCTGTGTAAAGTCTTATGTGCACATTACTGGACTGGTCATGATGAAAAAAAGTTTTGCTGACAACAAATTGCCTTTGGAAATATCTTGAAAACAATATTATAGAGAATGTAGGTTTTTATATAGAAGCCGACCAATGCAATGATTATCGGCCGTTGTAACTGTGTACATTGTGTACAAATAGAACAAAAAGCATGACATTGATAATACATCCTATCAATGGTTTACTTCTCCTCTGCTTGTTACATGTGTCTAAAGCACAGACTTCGGTCTTTGGTCACAGGTCTTCAGAAGGTTTAAAATGTCATAGTTGTTTACTTTCCTAAAAATGTATCAAAATTTACAAAAGTTTGGGAGCAGAGAAAGTAATTCGTTCTGGTTTGGCTCCCAAATATCAAGAGATTAAAGCCGAAGCAAGAGGAATGTATAGCAGATTTCATTGCTGGCAAAGATTTTGTGGCGCTACTCCCCATGGGCTCCGTTAGTGGCAAAGGAGATGGCTAAATGCTAAATGCTAACGACTCACTCGGGCGCATTACAAACGTCACAGCAAACTCAGATCCAATCGTTTCAATCTGCAAAAGGAGTTAATCCCTCCCACTTTTTAACGGAGCTCAATGAAGCACCTCCAGACTTTAATACAAAATGAAATTTGTACGATGGTGTGGTAAGACCAGGCTAGGTTAAATGCATCATTATAGATTTTGTTCAATGTCATGATAAAACCAAATCTATCATATTAAAAAAGATGTATTGAGTTCTGTTCAAAATGATTGAATTTTGTGATGAAATATTTGTATAACTGTGAAAGATGTCTATAGATCGCTGCAGATAGGAGACGTACGAGAGGTAAGACAACTGGAGATTTAAGAGTGAGTTGCATCTTTCATCTTTTTCACAAATAAATGGGTTTTTACTTTTGTGAATAACGAGTGGTGTGTGGGCACAAATCAATCATATATTTAGAGCAAGAAATACTAAAGCAGGGGCGACAGTAGCTCAGTTGGTAGAGCATTGCCTTTGAGCCTGAAGGTCGTGGGTTCAAGCCCACCATGAGACCTTCTCCATCAGCTCCCACTGATGACTGCTGTCGTTGTGTCCTTGGGCAGCCATCCTCCTGTGGACCCACCACCTGCAGAGGATCAGCGAGGGACTGGTGCTATGAGCGTTGGGTGGCAGCTCTCTTTGCCACCCCCACCCCGAAATGGACTAATAAAGGGGTTGAAAATGAATGAATTAAATACTAAAGCCTGATACAGCCCTGATAATATTTACAATCTTTGCAGAGCAGAAAAAATTATGTTTTTGCGCACACTACACTGTTATAATTTATCCAGATTATTACAAAACTCAACAGTTTGTCAACACTGGAATTGAAAGAATGGCAGTAATTTAGAGTGTAAGAAACTGAGTCCACGCTGGTTATGTTTCCATTGTTCAGTATCAACTCTTGGCTTAACACAGTGGCAAATGAATTCCACTGCAGTTTGCTCACAGACATCCAGAGTTTACATGAATACACTGATATGGAAGTGAAAATATATGATTTCAATGCCGTTTCCATTTGAATTATACAAGGCACATCCATTCAGGACCTATTTTCTGTGTGGCACTTACACAAACATTCACAGACACACATGTGAACATATCCATAGAGAGAGGCTAAAAAAACAATTACAGTTTCTCATTAAGGCACTCCTAATCCCTTTATGCAAAACACTGTTACACAAGTACGCACAATGAGGAGAAAGAGAGAACGGGGAGGAGGGAGAGTGGAAAAAATGTCGTGTAAATGCGAGGAGAATAATTACATATATCATGAAGCTGTCCCTTTTATTTGGGATGTCACTTCTGATGTCACTGGCCAGCTTTGGCGCTAATTTGAATTCAGACCTTTATCAGTCGCCGGCAGCAGATTTTGAGTGACAGCGCCACCAAACGCCTCTCGCCAGCCGTCCTATTGATTTCTCTAAATCCCCAACAATAGCATTTGCATGGTTGTTTCTGTTATAATACAGATATGCCGTTTCGGAAATTAAAGAGCGGCAGGCAGACCAGAGGTAACTAATTGTGTGCCTGTGTAATGAGTGCAGTTTCAATTTGATATAACCCACAGCTTTTCCCCTCGCAGGCCTGCGCTAAGTACTTTCAAGTCTTTGTGGGGAAATAATTGATTTTTTGTGCTTTGGGCAGAGGGAAAACTATTATGATCTTTTTGAATAATGGCAGCACGAGGAAAGGCACGTTGAACAATTTAAATTGGTATTAGAGGCGAGAAGGGAGGAAAGAAGGGCTTGGTGACGGGCTGGGGACTGATAGCATAGCGCAGTCCTGAGTGACTGACAGCCTACAAATGGCTCCTCGTTTGTTGATTACTCATTTTCTTAAGGTGGAAGTGTGCAGCAGTGTGGTATCCTAAGTAACACCTCAGTGTTTATAGACAGGCTGCAGTTCCAGAGGGCGACAGTCCTCGTGTGTGGATATACTCACAACAGGGGCACTTATAACTGTTTGCACATTCAGAGATCTTAAATCGAATGGAGTGGAAGCCTGGAACAACTTTCTCTGATGTCTTGAAAGCGATCGGTAGGATTTTTCCAGGACTCTTATGAAAATTAGTAATTGTGTTGCACTGTGCACAAAACATTCTAGTTAAAACAAAGTGGTGCAAGTTTCAAAAGTATTCATCTGGACAAAGTTTTAGTGCAGACATCACTCTACTCCTCTCATATCCACCCTCTTCCTGGTTTCTAAATAGAAATTAGATAACACTGCAAAAACAATTAAATAAATAATTCATTAATTACTTCAATGTTCAAACCCTTTTTCAAATTGATCTTGAAATTGTCCTTTGTCTCTAACTTTTAATTCTGAGGTAAGAAAAAACAACCATGATCTCTAAAGATTGTAAATAAATCTGCATGTTAAATTTATTTGAAGTTCCGACCTATTCTTACTTAACAACTATTATTGGTGTTTCATTACAAGGAAATTCCCTAAAAATGTGATTACATCTAAAATTGACCTTACTGATCCTTGATGATGAATGTATAAAAAAATGTGAAACTTTCTGGTACAAAATAAACAATATCTGTTATACATGTGTGCATAGTAAAAATAATAATATTAAGCAGCAAGGCTTTTGTTAAAGCCAGAAAAAAGCATTACAAGCCGGGATTGAACCTTTAGTGAATTTGTTTAGTGCTGAATGCACCGCGGGCAACAGAATGAGCCACTTCAGAGTGTACACAGCGCTCTTGGCATCTCTGTCCCTCACTCACTCTTCTTCCATCCTGTGTTTGCCTCTCTCTTTACAAATGAACCTCCTCATCCTCACTATCTCTCTGCATCCGCCTCTCTCTCAGGGAAGCGGCAGTGGTTAATTTAGTTGGTCATAACTAATAGCGGCTAATCTGCGGGCAGGAGTCTGCCGAGGATATTGGACAGTGTCAGGGTTAATCGCAGTTGCCCAGTTAGCTGCAGCAGACAAGAGGAGGGTGGGAGAGGAAGAGGTGGAGCGGGCTTGCGAGCGGTGGGCTTAATTCCACCGAAAGCAAATGGCATGCCGGTTTTATCAGTGCCCCTGATAAAGGAGCGCTAATACACCGAGGAGAATGGATGCTCAAGGGCCGGGTTTCCCTTATCAGCAAACTTTACAACAGGAGCCCTGGACTAACGGCACAACCCCCACGCAGCGCACAATAAGCACCTCATTTCACCTCTCAAGCAGAACTATCACCACACCGCCGCCACTACCCACCCACCTTTGCTGTACACCGGGCTCAGAACACACACGCACACAGACACACACACGCACACACACAGACACACACTGCATCTCCCCACTTCACTTTTGTGTCCAAAACCACCCACCAGCACCACCTCCATCCCCACTCCCAAAAACAGGTTGGACACAGTCTTGTTACAATCCTCCCCACATCCTCCCTGTAGCCCAGAGCAGAGCAACCAGCACCAGGCATGGGGGTATATTATGAGCACCAGCTAATTGGAAGATCACTCTAATGCATTAAGAGATAAAATAGTTTGGCTGCGGGCCTAGAGGCAGGATCAGAACAACATTGGAAGAAGCTATCTGGCCCTGTCACACATTTGCAGATTTCCATACTAACGCGGCAAGAGCAATTACCCCAAACATGGAGCACTGTTGGCGCTACAACGCACTCCCTGCCAGTACCTCGGCCCCAGGAAATTAGACCAACCGTGTGTATGGATGTGTGTGCGAATAAGTCCGGGCAAAGGAGGAAATTGGCTTAGTGGTGTTTGATTGTGTATTTGTTTTGTGGGAAGAGAGATGAATTGGCTTGAGGATGGAAGGGTGGCCTTGGGTGTGTCAATGAGGGGGAGAGTGAAGAGGACGGGGCTGGAGAAGCACACGCACACACCAAAACAAAGATATTATTAAGACACTGGGCTAATCAACACGACTAATAGAGCAACAGCCGTCTGCGAGCTTACACCCCGTCTGTGTTGTTTTTCACATGCTAATCAATGTTTGTTATCGCCACCAGTGGGAGGTGTGTGGATTTGAGAGTGTGTGTTTAAGCTGCAACTGTGCTTTTTAAAACTGTCGGGGCAGTTTTCTTATGCAGTTTTCCTTCATCTGACCATATTTGACTGTTATTTTGTAGATTTTAACTATATTTTGTGAGTGTAAATATATACATTTGATGCATTTTGAGTTATTATAATGGATATATTGTTTTTGTATGCTTGTGATACTGGCCACAATGCTTTCTATAACACCTTCAGGTTTTTTGGAAATGGGTGCAATATAAATAAATTGCATTAATATTATCACAATAAATAGAAAGGGAAAGAAAAGGCATAGAACCTGTTTGAAAAAATTCTTTGGTTGTGCTGTGCTCCCAATATATAGCATGCTTTACATCTAATATGGTTATTCTGTTTGCTGAACATTTATAAGAAAATATCTATTTTTTAGACATTTCAAAATGGCAAATACACAATCAAGTGCATATTTTCCATGCTCACCAGTTTGTTTGAAAGCAGTGGATGTGTGGCTTCGGCGTCCCCGTGCTGGCATCTGCCTGCGGCCAAAGTCAAGTACTCCCATGACTATCTTCAACTAAACGGATAACAGGTCACGGATAGAGAAAAAGGTGCTTACGGTCAGACAGATTTCATACCTTACCCGAGATGGAAACGTTTAGGCGGCAGGTCCTGGTAGATCCACGCTGTGGGGTGGGCCGCCGCAGAGCCCTGAGTGTGCTCTGCCATTGTTGCCTATGATTTAGTGTTTAATCCAATTTATCGCTGTTATGGAAATGATGTTCTGTCCTCGGGCTCGACAGACAGGGCTTTCCCTCTCTTTACGCATTCCTCATCCGCTTGTTCATTTGTTACGCTGGCAGATCTTAGGGTAATGTGACAACAGCCTGGGGTGAAGTGAACAAATATTATAAGGGTTACAGTATTGTTAATACAGACAATTGACAGCAATGTTAATATTGTAAGAAAAAACTGACACATTCACCATATTATTTTAAACAGTAAATACAATATTATTCTTATTGACCATAACATGTAATTATTCTAGTAAATAAAATTAGCTTAAATACTATATTTACGCACTGCCACTAATACTTTGTTTTCTTTCTTTTAATCCAGCACAACCAAAAACAAATAGCAGATGGTGCAGGAAGCAGGACATGTTTGGGACTACACCCCCCATGCAGCCGCTAATTGTGCATGGGGTGACAGGTAAGCAGCAAAAGCAACTCACTTTGCACTTTTCATTTCAAAAGAATAAATAAAAGCTGACACTAAGTACAATGAATGGGCCACATGTGCTTGAGCTGTTGTTTGGTGTGATTACGAGTCTTCATGTGGCGACCATTTCCCATTCACTCTGTCTGCATGAATGTCTATATCTCTAACACTGGATGCTGTTATTTTAAATGAGATGTTTGGTAAGACAATAAAACCCCATTACGAATCACGCTATGATGCTGCATGTACTTCAGGTCCCCCACAATGCGATCCAATTGGTTCCAGGTGTCAGTGAATTGCGGCGAACGGAAGCTGGGCTGTGATGTGGGAGATAGCCGCTGTAAGAGCAGAGGATTTCAAAGTGTTAGGAAACCCCATTCTAACACGAGGTTTGCTTCTCACACACACAGCCACAGACGCGAGCACATAAGATCGATAGACCTGTGGATGATGACACCGACTTGCTCAATGAGAGACCAGGAGCATTATATCTGTCTGTCTCTGCTCCAACTGCTGCTTGCCTTCCCGTTGGCTGGTTTCCTCACCTCATTGTCCCTGCAAAACAATTGGCAGTAACATTTAATTACGCGGGATCTCCTCCGGCGCTAAGGGCTGAGGCAAACCCAACGCCACTCAAAGCGGTGGACGAGCCTTGTTACAATTATTTGCTGCGGAGTCATTTATTTTTCCCAACAAGGTGCAAAGGAGGGGTTGTCAGAGCCGATGCAGGAAAGGTAATTTCTAGTTACTCGCGACAAAAAGGTCAAATGCTTTTTAATGACTGTGTTTTCAGATAATGCAGACTGGAGCGAGGGGGGAAGTGGTAATAATAAAGTTCCAGATTGGTATCACGTGGCGACATTTTAATGGAGTCTTGTGGCTGAGGACTTCATTTGCAGGAGGAATCGGCCCTCGCCACCACAGTCATTGTGTGATTTCTCAATCTCAGGCAGGCGCTGTCGGTGTGTTTGCCATCAACTCAACTCAATTTTAAAAGAGCAAATGAAGTGTGGCCCATTAAATGTTGCCGTTCACACAGTCATGGCAGGGTTATTGAATAGTGATTAAAACAGGAGAGACAAAATGAGATGAGATCGGACTAGGAAATGTATAAAGCTGTAATATACAACATGGTCTGAGGGCTGAGACAGAAACAAAGATGAATAGCATCAGAGGGGACCTGATAGGAAAGGAATAAGTAATACAGTTCACAATCATACTAGGCATATTATTTGGGTATAAGCTATTTGTGCAATGCTTATAGAAAATATTGATGTAATTTCTAGGGTTGTAGTCGGCCAAAGAAATGTCTGGTCAACCATAGACCTCCCTAGTCAATCGAAGGGGAGTGACAAGTGACAGGTTATGCGTCTGACCAACTTTAACTCTGCAAAACATCTAGAGCAAGTAGAAAACAAGGCCGCTATTATTAAATATGTTAATTCATGTCTTCATCTGCTTTCACACTAAAATATATTCCAAATAATACTTTTTTTTTTGTTATATTAAATCCTTATTATCAAAAATGTTTGCCACCATGAAGAGGCAGAGCTAAACTTCTACCTATTTCAACATCCTATTTCTATTACAAAGCTGTAATGTATTACTTTCTTATTCTGTGTCTTGGCACATTTATTAGTAGTTAAACGATAGGATAAATAATCATGTGTTAATTTAATTCAAACAAATACTTTACATTATATTTGGAAATCCCTGTGCAACAAAATAAGTTTCTATGAGACCAGATTTGTGTCTTTAAAGACAACCTTTTCTACAAAGAACAGAAAAAGCCATGTTCTGTATTTTCTTTCACTGTTACAATACAGTGTTGTCCACTAGACACTTCCCACCCCCAATCATTCACAGCCAATCTCGTGTTTGGAAATTACATAATTCGCCTTATTAATGAGAGTGAATTGTACTCAACAATTAGAGATGGGTGTAAAATGTTAAGTTGGGTGAAGAAAGAAATGCTCCCAATTACACAGAGACACGGGGCCTTGTACCTTCCCAGCCTCTACTGCGGGTAATTAAATCCACAGCTTCTTAACGAGGCACCCATGAAATAAAGAGTTGAAGGGTTAATGCGACTATCATTTCTCTCACAGAATACTCCAAGAGGCGCACACACAAATTAGCATTTACATATCGACTACACCAACACGTCGGGCCTTTTGCTATTCAGCAGAGCTGACATTCATTATTAAACAGAAACTAATCCAACCACGCCGTTTGAATTCAACTATCCATAATTATATAATATATTATTCATTCTAATCCTAATTATCATTAACATTAATAGCCCTGCAGTTGCGTGATGGTTTTATAATTTAATTTTGAACAAAGGTGCGCGTAAAGTTTCTCTATAGGCCCAAGAACATGTAGCTAACAACACCAGCAACAGTCCTGCAATTAGCACAAGCATGCTACAATACTAACTACAATACTAGCTACTATAATGTTGTAGCTACAATACTAGCTACAATACTAGCTACTATAATGTTGTAGCTACAATACTAGCTACAATATTGTAGCTAGTATTGTAGCTAGTATTGTAGCTAGTATCGTAGCTAGTATACTAACTACACTACTAGCAGAACTTTGACAATGGCGCCTAGAAGCCTGTGTTCTGGATACAGTTCACCTGGGTCGGCACGGGCCATCTGCAGAGTCTGGTCTGGCCTGGTCTCGGTCTCTCCTCATGGTCCTCGCAAAGACCATGGTCAGGTGAGGAGCGCACAAAACCCCTTTTCGTCCTGACCTGAGCTGAAGTTACTTCCGGATGTTAAAACGTGTGATAAAAAAATAGTTAGCGTAGGCCAGTTGTCTTATGGCTATTCTATCGTTGTTTTAATGTCTTAATGTATGTTAGTGTTATAGGCTATGGAGCTAAGAAGACAAACACATTGAATATAATTAGGCTACTTGTAGCATATCTACCCCATCTCCTGGTCAAATATCGTTCCATGGAAACAAACGTAAATCCATATTATGAGGCCAGATCTGGTGCGTAAAGATAGTTGCGTAATCCGCCGACACCATTGTGTGGCCTCTAATCCTTAGTGCAGCAGGGGTCAAATCTTTTAAATTCAGTAGCGCTTTCCCCTATATAGGCCGCGGCCAATTATTGATACTTCATTATTCCAATTGGCGATGACTTTCATTTTCATTCATGGCGGAATAGCTCGAAAATGTGTCAAAGAGCTTACATTGTTGAAAACCACCGATGTGGGCCGAGCTCATCATCGCACCAAGCACGCCACTCCTCTCAGCCAATAATTAAAAACACTGTTAAAATATCAATGTCCCGCGAGAAATGAGCACTTCTCCTCAAAAAATGGGCCAAGCTCATAAAAGATATATGAGCATGGTCACGCTTTTATAATTTAAAGAAAGAACTGGAGTCTGTTCATGGTAATGTGATTTAAAGGTATAATTCCAGCTGGTTAGAATCTATCCTTTGCATTCATCCTGCATAAAAATGACTTCTTTAGTGTTTTCATATTGTCAGCCAATTCACATTCTAATACTTTTTATGGATACAGTCTATTGCATGTTTGATATTATGTGCAGCTGTATGTTTATGGGCTATAGAGCTCATAATAAGCAAGGTATGGTTTACAGCACAGCCAGATACAAACACATTTCTTTTAATGCCTGCACAGTCCCCCTCTCCACAACATCAATATTGTATTCTTCATATCATGAACTCCTAGGTTACACTGAGCATGCATTTTTCATTGTGATAATCCTTAATTATTTTTATGCACCCTTAATCTTTCATATAGTTTCACTGTTTTGCTTAAATATTTAATGGCACAATGATGCGGCTTGTCTTTCAGGACCAGGGCTTTGAGTGGAGGGGAGTGATGGAGAAGGGAGAGGAGAGAGAGAGAGGGGGAGATGAGCGAATGGATTTTAGCGCCTCTCCCTGTATAAGCCTTCTCCTCGTCTGTGCTTCGTCTGCTTGAGTGACTAGGCCTCCAGTGGAGACGCTGTTTTAATTCACATCAACACTGACCTCATTCAAAATAATCCCCTCCGCTGTAATCGCTTTTTATTCAGGAGCTACAACTCATTTCTTCATATTTAACAGTGAGATGTATTAGTGGAAGCACACGACATGGCAAACTCTCATTAGGACTTATGAATGTACTGGGTTTTTTTTAAAGTAATGGTTAATGGCACACATATTTTGAATACATTTGGTTTTTTTTGTTCTGTGTCTTTTTAGGAGAGGCCATGAAGAGAGGCTCTGAACATACAGTACATAAAGCAAAGCCAGTGGAAAGCAGGGAGGACAGAGGCGGAGTGGTTAGTGGTCCTACCTCACAGCAAGAAGGTAACTGGTTTGACTCACAAGCCGGACAGTTCTGTGTTTGGATTTTTCTCCCTGGGTGGGTTTCTTGCAAGCACAATATTTTCCCCTTCAACCCAAAAACATGCTCAATCCCAGCCTAGTTTCACGCATGTAGAGCTCAGTGCTAAGGCTAGCCTTGTACTGAGGT